CAAGCAAGAAACTGCTCATTTGAATACTTCTGGGCTCACTGATCTCTCACAAAGTACATGTGTTATTCTTTACAGAATCTGTTTCCCCAACCAGTGTTTTTATTTTTTTTTCCTCCTAAAGTGATTTTCTTTATCTTTTCATACTTACACTCCCAACACACCTTTACCCTGAAAGCTTAGACATGAACTGTCAAACTTCATTACTGAGCATGCTGATGCTACTCCAGACACAATCCTTAGAGTTTTCCCTTAATGAGGAATGCCTAATTCATGCGGCTACTCACAATCTCTTAAAGCTTTGTAACATAATCTTCAGTAAAAGGATGAAGACAGCACCTTCAACAAGTTCTAGGTAATCCAGAGTACTGAAGCTGCAATACAAATCCTTATCACAATAAGGCAAACAAACTTCTGAGTCTGCCCTGCTCCATCTCCGGCAGCAGGACCATGGCCCTGTGGAAGAAGAGGCAATGAGCTGATTTTTGTGCTTGGTATGGAGATGTCAGAGTGGCACATATTGCAAACTTCACTCCTTTGGAGGCTAGCTGACCATAAAACAAAACCTCAGAGCATGGGGAGGGCAAAGCTGATGTTAAGAAAGAATTCATATTCCTCCCATCACAGTCATGATCATAGAGAGTCTCTACCAGACACAGACACTAAGGACTGCTGAAACACCAGCACACAGAACCGTTCTTATATGCCATGGCTGTGTCCCTTGTTTTACCTGTTACACTCAAAGCTTGAATTCTCTGGCCAATTCTATGGCAGTTTTTTGTTTTTTTGTTCTTTTTTCTCTTTATTTATAAAACTGTATTTTGCCAACAGACTTGAACTTATCCCACAGATATGACTCAATTTTTATTTGCCTTAAGACGACTACAAAAAGCATTCCGGGTAAAACAATCCTCCAGTCCTCCCACAATTTATAAGAAAAAACATAACAGATGCAAACTTTATTGAATAAGGAATATAAGCCCATTTAAATCACTTCCATCTTACATTTTATGATACAGTTGTGAATTATGTTCTTTTTCCATTTGTGAAGAGGGTAGAACAGATGGTGAAGGCTAAGTTTAAAATGATGCACCCATTAAAATAACCTACGCTGCCCAGAGATTGTTCACAAAATGACAGGATTTGTTTGCTTTTACAGGATTTTTGCTATTATGAAATACTCTGCTTTGTAAGGAGGATGGACTCAGAATGTTTGTTATACTATGGGATTCACAACAGCAAAATTCTGCAGTGTTTTTAAAGATCATTTGTATATTTTGTGTGCACATGTGTGTTTGTATACATACATACTTGGCAAGACTTATGCTTGGGGATTTAGAGAGGTGAAGCACTGATTAAAATGATGTATGACCATAAAAACTATTCCTGCTCCTGTCTGGTTTATTTTGTGCACCTGCTGTTTGGAAAAATGCCCTTCTTCCTCTTTTTTTTTTTTTTTCAGTAATAGGATTACAGTGCCTAGCAGGCTTGCAAAAAGCTCTTTCCATCCCTCTCCCCTTATGCTGGCTATGTTAACATCAACACAGCCCCAAAGCACTATCTGCCAGGATCTGAAACGCGCTATGTTATTAAGGCACGGAAGATGCTGCAACATCACAGGATTCCAGACGACTTAAACCAACCGCTACTGGAGTGATATTTTGGGGGCATTTTTTTAGATTTGTTTTTGTCTTGCAACAAAAATGATGTGCTGCGTGGCACCTGAGACCCTATTTAACATTAGCAACCAGGTTAACCTTGAATTGTAAAATAAGTTACTTAGGATGAAATCCAGTTGACATCATTCCTCTTAAGGCCCCCTTAAATTTTTAAACTCCTGAGCTAGAAGCATACTGATACAGAGGCAGTGTATGTGAAGGATAAGTACTAAGTCTAGGGCCTATTAAGTGTAGGATAAACCTTGAGGGCAAAGCAGTTGCATCCAAGTTTTGTTAGTAATATTAAAGGAAATCCTTACAAAAGGAATGAAAGTAGTGGCACCTAATGTTCAGCTTCAAGGCAGGGGCTGTTTCAGTATTTTCAGAGGTGAAAATACCCATTGTTCCCTAACACCAGAAGATACACACCTGAAATTCCTAGGAAGTTTTTTTCCACTTAGGTATATTTTCCATTTCAGGTATATTTTCCTGTCACTCCCAAACTAACAAAAAAATGGATTAAGAACTAACCAGTGGGTAGTAATTTAACAACAACAAAAAAAGTTAAAATACCATGATTTGTATTAAAGTGACTATAGATATAAATGAAGTTCTGAACCAAGTTGGAATTCAACTGTTAGAAGCTGCTGGTAAAAACTTAATTTTTCAGGCTTAGAGTCTGAATTAAGGTATTTATTTCTATGCAGCTCTGTCTGATATAATTGAGAAGTTGAGGTAGTGATCACAAATCCATGAGATCAAATATGGCATATACAGACAGATCTTAGCCCTTCAGTCAAATCTTGCCCAAATTGAGCTTTCAAAATGCTGAGAGTGAATACCCCTTTCTGAAAAGGTATTTCTGGTTATATCACGCTTTAGAATACTGTACATCTCTGAAAAAAATACATTACATCAATCCCACCCTTGCATACCAACATAGTTTTCGTGTAAAAAATGTGTTTGTACAAATTAACATACATAAAATTCAGAAGAGGATTCTGTATTTTGAAGAACACACAATATTCAGAACGCAGAATATATCAATATTCAGAATATATCAGACCCCAGATACTGTTAGAGGAATGCTTTTAAATAATAATCTGATTAAAAAAATACAAACCAAAACCCTAAATAAAAATGTTTAATAAAGTTCACTGCCAGAAGTTTTACAGCCATTTCATTAAAGATTACCATCCAGCCACTGCATCTTTGGGAGAATGATTAGTCTCCAATAGTCTCTAAAATAAATTCATATATCTGCAAGTATTTTATCAGTTTAATTTCTCTAAATGAAAACAGGTTGTGTCATTTCCAGTTTCATAGTTACGTAATGCATATGTTTATACTTGAAGACCGCAGGGTGTTTTCTTATTAGCTGTAACACGCAATTGTATGCATTTCCATGTCCCCCCCCCCATATTCTTCCTTGAGGGAAAGTTCAATTTTTTTCCAAACAGAAGTAATCTCAAAAATATTTGTATGTGCATAAGTAATAGCGAAGAGGAGCATGTACATCCAATCATTTGGAAGATAGCAGAAAGATAGTTATTTTTCTAAAATGAATACATGTAAAGGTTGTGGTTTTCTCCAAATAGTGCTTTGGCTAGCTAGAAATCTGAAGTAACCAAAAGAATTAAATGAAGTTATCACTAGCATAGACTTCCAAAAAAACAATGCAAAACAAAGTGGACATTTAACAGAGAGAAGGAAAATGCTTCATACAAGATCATTTTTTTTTTTTCTTTTACTTATACGGCCTGGTATGAAACAAGTTACTGATGGAAATCTATTTTTTCTTTACAAAACTTCAGAAATCTGCAAAATTGTGGGAGAAAAGAAGCAATCTTACAGATCTCTGCAAAGGACAGTATCTTGTGCTGTGCCTCCAGAAAGCTGCTGCATAATTCAGACAGAAGTTCATCCCAAATCTATTCTGAGAAGAGACCCTAGTCAGTCTAGAGGCAGCCGCCTGCATGGAGGTCACATCCTTTCCTATGTCAGCTTCCTCCAAATGACTGCCACACACAGGATCTACAGATTTTAGTGTACAGACCCTATCAGGTTCTCTGCCTCCTTCCCAGAAGTTTCCAGCAAACTCTGGCATGAATTCAGGATGGTTAAGGAGATATGTGCGCAAAGCAGAGCTCTTAAGTGTTTCAGATTTTATTTCAAAACGTGCCAGGAGAAAGGATTATTATTTTTTTTTTTTCTTAACAGATGCCACAACAGCCAGTTGTTTCACAGAGAGGAATTTCTTTTCCCACTGGCACTAATAATATTCCTTTCCACCAGAGGCTTGAGTCATAGCCATTACTCACCTCTCCCTAGTCACCAAATCAAGGCTTCCCTCAGATTCTGCTCCCATTTTAATGGCAGGAATATAAGCTGTACTGAGGCAGAGCTACAGGACTACAGCATGGGAAGTTTGCTCATCTGCTTACAAATTCCAACAAGTTAATTTAAGCACACATCATTGGCACTCCTTTCTGCATATGCAAACAATGGCAGAAATCAGCCTTTAATTGGTTATGCACAGTAGAAGAAGCATGCAAATAATAGCGGTGTCCTGCAGGGATAACATTCAGGCGGTATTTTGTCATTCTGGTAGACTCCATTATAAGCAATACTAATAATGAATTGACAAAGAGATACAAATCCCCCACTTTATAACATCTGTAAGCTAAACTTACTGTTCTATTTACCCCTAGAAATCTCTGTTTGTCCCTGTTTTTGTTTTATATTCCTAATTTTCATCACATTTATACCAAATTTCCATTTTTTTTTCCTTTCTCCCCTAGTTCTGAAACCCCCTCTTTTCCTTGCCATCCTTCTATCCTGAGAGCATTCCTTTCAGTACCCCACTTGTCCCTTTTCAGGGCCCTTTAAGTAGCTTAACCCCAGGTACACTCTGTGTCCCTCACTCTCCTCTGCGTACACCTGTTTGCTGTTCTCAGCTGTCAACCACAGAAAAAGCTTCTCAGAATTGGAAAACAGATGCTTGGTGAAGAGAGGAGCACGCTTCTTGCTGGAAATTCTGAGGGGGTGGCACGGCTGTGGGAACTTCCCAACACTGAGATTTGTTTCCAGCAAATTCGTGGCTCCAAAACTCCTGTTGGGAAGATATGCATTTCTTGAATAAGAATGTTATGTCTAAAGCACCTTTTCCCATATCCAAGACGAAGGATCAGGGGTCCCAAAGATCACAGCCAGCTTAGGAGTGGCCCTTAATGGTTTATAGCTGGCAGGAAGCCAAAGGGAGGAGGTGGTTGCCCACACAGCTGTTCACAGAAAATAAGGTTCTTCCCATCAGCACTACTACAATTAGCAGTGAGCTAACAGAAATGCCCATTTCATTGATCAGCCTTTCCTGAGCGGTAAATCTCTTTCTTTGGAAGTATCATGCAATCACTGTTTTGCAAACAAAACCTTTTTTTACAGTTTCCATTTATGGGATACGAACAACCCAATTATAAAGAAAGATTAACTGGAGATTCCGGCGCTTGGTTACATGTCAATAGCACCTTCCCCAGCTTTTTGGAGCACAGAAAGAACTACCCAGCAGCGGCTACTTTCCCAACAACCTGCTTTAAGTCTCTGCCCTTTTCATCATTAGGATCTTCAGTGTGGTGTTTGAACAAGCCTCTCAGAACAGTTGTGAGAAATAAGCATTTTTCTCTCCATTTTTCAGATAAGGAAACGGAGATACGGATCATTTAAGTTACTTGACGCAGGTTCACAAGGGTGATGCATCTACAGCAGGAACAGAACCCAAAGTGCTTGGTTTCCACACTCATACTCTGATCACTTCACCGTGCTTCCATGGCTTTAAAAAAACAATAGCACATCAGCAGCCATTGCCCAGCCAATTTTGTTTAAATCACTGCTTCTCAGTTGGCGATCTAATCAGGACGGCAGTCAGGTCTGCTCTGCTCATGACTCCTGCAGCGCTCATCTCAACAGGAGGTGCAGCATAATGCACGTTTATAATGGATGGTTGAATCAAAAATAAAGGTAAGCTATTTGCTTGAAACGTTCATCTTATTTATTTTATGTTCATATACTTGCATAGGAGGTCTCTTAAGTGGTTGTTTGAGATCCAAGTCAGAGAGAGATGTATGATAAGCAAAGCCAACAAATACTCTTACTGATTATCACAAGCGTGTCCCTTAGCATTTCCTTAAAATGAGAAAATCAGAAAGTAAAACTGAAGAAGTTCTGTTTCCCCAGGCATCCACAAAGGGAAACAATTATACTTAAAAAGAGAAGCATTCCTGGTGCTATATGAAAACAATTTGATAACATAATGGTGAAGAAGAAAACCTCCATTTTTCAATTCTACAGAATTCCAAACCTCATTGAAAACCGTATGCCAGTTCATTATTTTCAAGTGTATCCATTCACAGAAAAATTAATGTTGTACAAACTCGACACCCACATCCAATGATTAAGAGCTAAGTACTGCATCCTAAGAATTACAGATATTCTCCCCTCACCCCCACCCCCTAAAAAAAAGTTAAGAATTACGTGATGTTCAGTGGTTGTAGCAATGGGACAGCCCAAACGTTATCTTTTCAGTGATAGTTTCTACTGACAGATGCCCATATGCATTTCCTTAAAGGACAGAAAGCTCCTAGCTGACTTAACTGCAGTGCTAGCTATGGTTACTGCAAACATTGCAAAGGTTAATAAATATTAAAAACAAGTATTTCTTCTAACAAGAGCAATATTCTGCAGTTTAACATACATTTACAGAGCCTTCAAAAGGATTTGTCCCCAAATGCTGGGACAATTGCATGTTTACTCGCGTATCAGCAAATACTCACACCAATCTTTGATTAGACACAAGAAAAGGCCTTTTAGCCATTGAGTAAGTAATCTCATTAAAGATTGCTGGACCTAAATACAATTAGCAAAGTGGTGATTTCCTACAAATCTGCACTCCCGGAGTCCATAACACAATTTCAGTGATTTAGATTAACAGGTTTATATTTTTATATTTACTATTTTTTTTTTTTTTATTTTTTTTTAAATGTCTTATATATAAACTATGGTTTTTGGACAGCTTGGGGACTCTGAAGTAACAGCCTCTTACTTTCTGGTGACTTCTCTCCTATAGTAATCAACTTTGAGGGTTTGTCTGCCTGAGAAAGATACTGAAGGACAGTGCAAGCTTTGAATTTGTAGCACATACAGGCTGTGGAAAGCTATATTCAAAACTCTATTAACTAACAAGGGTGCCTGTGCTGACAGTTACTATGGAGTTACCAGTGTGTTGTGACTTCCCTGACACATAGTAAGGTAACACCCTTACAGACAAGCTCTTTCCCTTTGTTGATGAGCACATTCCCCCCTTTTCTAGGGAAAGGAACGGGTACACACAGGCATGCCCATGGAATAGAGGCTTCAGAGATGGAAGTCTGAGAAAGTACACCCACAAAATGGAGGGAGGATTTTAAGTTAGCCTGTTTAGACTGAGTTAGTTTAATGCTTTAATTAGAGCTGCTCAGGAATTTCATACTTCCTTTGCAGTTAATTCTACTTAAAATACAGAGATTCTAAATCCTGTTCAAACAGGATTTCAGCAGAACGCTAAAGCAGTATTCTCAAAAACAAAAATATGATTTTTGATCAATAAAATGTTTTCAACTTAGTCAGGAGAAGTGTTGAGAAGCATTTCATTTCAATTCACGTATTATTTTAATACATCAAGCAGTCAAATGAAAGCAGTCAGAAAGTTTCAATTTGTTAAAGTAAAAAATGTTATTTGAAAAATGAATAGAATATTTTTTTCCAGTGTTTTAATGTCAAACAATACAACATTTTTCTGCCAGAAATATTCTTTTATCAGGAAATGCTTGATTAGCTCTGACTTCAGACCCAAAACATCTCTAGAAAAACCTACTTCATCTGCCCTCGTGGACATCAAGTCATGAAAATACTACCCATCAACAAATAGCTTAAGACCCAGAGTGCAATGAATCAGAAGTCACTAAACACCTACATAGCACACTGTTTGCTGTCCTGCAACTATTGTGTCATTTGACCCATGGGTGTCTAATCTGCAAATTATGCAGTTACATATGTACACACACCAAGTGTACTTACATACGTGGTACTTGGATGGTTATTCCAAAGAAGTTATCCTTTGCCTCAAATTTGTAATCATAGTTCCAATTTCTTATTGGAAAGGGTACAGAGAAAAAATGTCTATTACTAGAGAGAGAAAGTCACCTGCAGTGACTACCAAAGATGGTCTTGTAAAAAAAAAAAAAAAAAAAAAAAGTTTTACAGATTTAGAAAAGGAAGCACAGCTCTGGAAGAGGCTTGGGTCAGTGTTTTATTGCTTTGGAATGGGTATCAGCGATTCAAGGTAAAGCAAGCCACTGAAGGCATTGCGCTTTATTTGAAGTCCATAACACTAGGACGATTTTATCTCCAACCCTCTCCAGAATAGGGGCAGGGCATGACAGGGGAAGGATGCCTTGGTTAGCAGAACTGAAACTGGATTTCATGCACTCGAACAAAACCCTGTTCAGGGAGAACAATGGACAAACATTGTTGTCTCTTTGCCTAACAGCAAGTGGTCAAGGCAAGAGCAGAGGTGCCACAGGAGGATCAACCGGCGACAGGGGGCAATCTCTCCTGCACCAGGCTAGACAGAGCTCTTGGCGTCAGGTGCTGGAACCCAACCTTCTTCAAGGCATGGGGGGAGAAAAGCCTTTGCCCACCAGCATGCAGGTGCAGATCTGCAGACATCTGAGGTGGAAGCAGTGGTGGCAGGCATGCCTGGCCATGTGCCTGACAAACTGCATCTCTGCTGCAGCACAACTCTTTGGTGGTGCCGTGCTGCTGCTGAAGCTGGCTGCAGCCTACTTGATGCTCAGGGAGGTGTCTGAGTCATCTAGCTGCACACCAAGCATCCTTTTGATGTAGTGCTCTTGGAGGCACCGGTCAGCCTGAGCCTGCGGGAGCAGCAGGAGGGCAGCACCGTCAGGCAGCAGTGGCAGGACTGTGGCAGAAGCTCCCAGGCTGCTTTGAGTGAGATCTGGAACCAGCGGGTGCTTTCCTCCACTTTCAGGTAGGAGCCGGAGCTGCTGCTTTCAGGTAGTAGCAGGGGAAGCAAGGTCTAGGGAAGAAGCGATCCCCTTGAAACACAGCTTTATGTGCTTCTTTGGAGTGGAAACACCCGTGGTACAGCACCAGCAACAAGTGCTGGGCAGCAACATCTGCTCTGGCTGCCTTTTTGGCCACTGTCCTTCAAAATCATGGGCCTGGAGTGTGCAATCATTGACCAGCAGTGACTTCCTTTAGGAACCGGAAATATTAGGAATGGAAAGAAACACTGAATAAATGCTCTTCTCCAAACAAAAGCAGCACTTAGGAAAATGCCTAAACTGAAGTTAACTGGACTGCTGAAGTGGTAAGTAAGAAAAGAGGTTTTCACCTCCAGGTTGCTTACTTAATTCAAGAGCTGATCTAATAAGAAGCACCATGCAATGGTGCAACTGTGGGCCTGCATGAGCTGACTTTGCTTTTTGCTGTAGTTCCAACATGACACGAGCTACACTTCCTGTATATAATCATAAAATAATCACCCAATAGCCTGAGTTGGAAGCGACCCACCAGAATCATCAAGTCCAATTCTTGGCTCCACACAGGACCACCCAAAATTTAGACCATGTGTCTGAGAGCATTGTCCAAACGCTTCTTGTACTCTGTAGGCTCAGTGCTGTGACCACTGCCCTGGGGAGCCTGTCCCAGTGCCCGAGCACCCTCTGGGTGCAGAAGCTTTCCCTAACCCCCAGCCTGACCCTGCCCTGCCCCAGCTCCATGCCGTCCCCTCGGGTCCTGTCGCTGTCCCCAGAGAGCAGAGCTCAGCGCCTGCCCCTCCGCTCCCCTCCTGAGGGAGCTGCAGGCTGCCATGAGGCCTCCCCTCAGCCTGCTCCTGTCGGGGCTGAGCAAACCAGGGGAGCTCAGCCGCTCCTCACACGTTTTGCCCTCTAGACCTTCTATTTACCATTTCCCTAGCTTCCTTTGGACACTCTCTAACAGCTCTCTAACAGTACTTCTTATTTTGTGGCACCCAAAACTGCACACAGTGCTTGAGGTGAAGCCACATCAGTGCAGAGCAGAGCAGAGCAGAGCAGGACAATCCTTTCCCTCAGCTGGCTAGGAATGCCGTGCCTGATGCAGCCCAGGGTATGGGTGGCCCTCCTGGCCGCAGGGTACGCTGTTGATACCTATTCAACTTGCCACTGACCACAGTGCCCAGATCCCTTGCTGCAGGGCTGCTCATCCCCCACTCTGTATGCATAGGCAATGTTGCCCCAACCTACATGTAGGTGAAGAATCTGTCGCTTGTCCCTGTTAAACTTCATACGTCAGTGATTGCCTGGCACTCGGACTTGTCAAGATCTCGCCACAAGGCCTGTCTATACACAAGGGAGCTCACATCTCCTCATATTTAGTATGATTTGCAAACTTAGGATTTATTCCATCCATAGTGCATCCAGACACTACCTCTACATCGAACCTTTCCTTTACAAGAAGGGACCCATTTGACCCTGTAGAGAGGGGTGTGATTTAAAAGGCTTGGATGAACGTCACTGGTTTTGTTGAGTTGCTTTCCACACTGCTAAAATATCAAATCAAAGCATAGGAAGCCGATCAAAGAAACAAGGGCTTGTACATCTACTCTGTTATGTCATCAGCAAAATCTGTATAGGTTTTATTCTGGTTGGACCTGCAGAGCAGCCTCTGGGAGACTGCTGACCTTGAGGAGCATCGCCTGGGTACACAGCTATTCCCTTGCAGAAGCGGTGCTGTGGAAATCACAGAGCATCTTCAAGGAGTGGCAGGAAACTAGGAAGAGATTGCTACATTCTTTAGTTCTCATTGCTCGGGCAACTGATTTCCCTCCCCAGCTGGAAAACGTAGAGGGACATCAAGGAGGCCAGAAGGGAGCTATCACACGGGGAAGGGGAAGCAAGGTCTAGGGAAGAAGCGATCCCCTTTCAACACAGCTTTATGTGCTTCTTTGGAGTGGAAACACCCGTGGTACAGCACCAGCAACAAGTGCTGGGCAGCAACATCTGCTCTGGCCGTTCCACTGTGATGTCACTGTGGTGACTGCGGGTGTCACGGTGATGTTCAAGCATCTCCCACCAGAACGCCCAGACAGACCAGCTGGGTCTCACTTGCTGACTGGCAGGACGAAGACTGAGCTGCCCACTGAAATGGCTTCAGGCGGAAGTTTCAGTGAAGATGAGACAAAAGAAATTAAAAGGGAGCCGCTTCCAGCAGAAACTTCACCCGATGCTGCTCCAGACAAGCCGGTTGAATCCTCAGAGTCCCCTTCTGCTGAGCCTCCGGGACAGGATGGAGGAGCAGCTTCTGATGGTGCTGCAGCATCAACGGAGGGAGGAAAGGATTGCCCAGCTTCCACTGATAACCGTGAGAGCAGACGCGGTAGTTCTTCTGAGGAGCGTGCTGTCAAAACCAATGTCTTCTCCTTCCTCAGTTTCCCAACGAAACTGTGGTACCTAGTTGAAGGCGACGAGTTTAAGAGCATTTGCTGGGCTCGCTGTGAAAGCTGCATTGTGATCGATGAGGAAATGTTTAACGTAGAAGTGCTGGGGAGGACCGGGCCGCAGAAAATTTTTGAGGCTGACAGTGTGAAGAGTTTCATTCGTGAACTTAACCTGTACGGATTCACCAAAATGAAATGGACCTTCCCAAGATCTGCCTCGCTTCCCAAATTCATGGCAGAAGATGCATTTTCTGCTCATAGGAAGGTACATCACTTGCTCCACACATGAACCAACACTCACGATATTCTAGTGGGAGATAGGGGGGGTTAAATAAAGTAGGCCTTGGCAATAGAGGAGGTGAGGACGACAGTAAATGTTCTAAACTTAATGTCTTTCTCAGGCTGGTGTCGAGGTATTTGTCAGGTGGCATTGATGAGTGGTAGAAATGTGGATACACTATATTTGGGTTATACTCAATGAGTTTAAATTAATGGAATGGAAATATAAATAAATTGGGCTATGAGGAGTCTACTCAGTTTAATATAGTTGCAAGATCTCTTGCTGTGCAATATCTGAATTCTTGTTTCAACTGTCGGATGCACATTAGCAGGGTAGTCTTACCTTTACCTCTATGTTAATGCTACGCAGAAGCATCTGTCGAGTCATGGTAGCTGGGTTTCTCAATCAACGATTTTTTATTATTTTTGGGAAATGGTAGCAACTAACTCTCCTCCTTTGCATTTTTTTAGTTACTCCTCTACCACAACCCCAACTTCAAGAGGTATTCTCCCCACCTGCTCATCAACTGCAATCGCCGTGCCGCCCTGAAGAGGAAAGCCACGGCTGCCCCTGCAACACAGGCGGATCTGGATGCAAAGTGCCCCAGCAGCAGCAGCTCAGGCATCCAGCATGGGCGGGGAGCAGATGCTGGGCAGGAGAAGGACGGGATGGAAAAAGCTGCAGAAGAAGACACGCAGACAGCAGCCCCCCCAGGGTCCCCTCTCCCAAAGCGCCAGGCAAAAGCCCCCCCCCAGGCTAGCGGTGCCCATCCAGCCTCATGCACGGATGCTCCCTCCCTGCCAGGCTCCGCTGCAGAGGCAGCAGGCAGGGACAATCAACAGCCTCCGGCCTCCCCCCAGCTGCCAGCACGCAGCAGCCAGAGCCCACCTGCCTCTCCTACTCCCACACGGTACCACTTTCTGCCTCTCATGGGACCCGCCTTGCCACCTATGCACCGAAACGCGGCAGCTGCGCGCTTTCCCGGGGCTGCCAGACCTCCCTTGCGTCCACTTGCAAGTCCCGGGCTGGCAGCAGCCTCTGCCACGGCCATGCCAAATCCACCCGACTGGCAGCCCTCAGCACCCCCACACTGCCCAACTTGCACCTGCGGCTCAGACAGGACAGCTGCAGGCGATGGGCCGGCACCCTAGCGCAGGACCCACTAGGGATAGCAGGGAGAGCGGCACCCACTTCCAGGTTCAGAGTTGTTCAGAGTTGTTCACAGTTCATAGGCTGATTGTTCTGAAAAGAGTTGTTTGCATAATAAACCTTTTACAGTTCTCCTGTGTCCATTTATTATTATTATATACATTTTTATGGTGTAACCTCAGATTGAGTTTGCTTTTCTTTCCTCAGAAGGAAGGACAAGCAACTGTTCTGACATCAATGTGATGGTTTTCTGTAACAGCCAAGCTCTAGGTACTTAGCTGCAGAGAGTAAAAGACTGGGTAATGTTGGCATGCTGCATGCACCGAGGATGCTCTTCCTAACGATGACTTCTGAGGGCAAGTTGAGAAAGTCTAATTAAATAACAGCATTTTAATTAGAGAAGACTCAGAAAGGGAACGTCACCTTCATAGTAGGATGAATGCTTACAAGGGAAAGGCCCTACATTGCCAGGCAGTAACAACCTGTGCTTAAATTTCTGAGCTAACATTCATGAAGGTGCTGAGAAATCAAGTGCTTTGGAGAGGCATCCCTGAAAAGCAAGAGAGCAGAGTCCAGAACTGATGAAAAGATATGTATTTAAAATATTGATATTTCTAGAAATGTTGGACCACTCGGTGCATAAGGAACTGGCTGGATGGTTGCACTTGAAGAATTGCAGTCAATGTCCAAGTGCAGAACAGTCATGAGCGGTGTTCCTCAGGGACCAGTCTTGGGACCACTGCTTTTTCATGTCTTTGTTAGTGTCATGGGCAGTGGGATCAAGTGCACCCGCAGCAAGTTTGCCAGTGAGCCCAAGCTGAGTGGTGCGGTCGACATGCTGGAGGGAAGGGATGCCATTTAGAGGGACCCGGCTCAAGAGGTGCACCTGTGAGAACCTGACGGAGTTCAACAAGACCAAGTGCAAGGCCCTGCGCCTGGGCCCTGGGTGAAGAATGGATTGAGAGCAGCCCTGAGGAGAAGGCCCTGGGGCTGCTGGTTTGATGAGAAGCTCAGCATGAGCCAGCAGTGTGGGTTTGAGGCACAGAAAGGCAGCTGTATCCTGGGCTGCATCAAAAGCAGAGTGGGCAGCAGGGTGAGGGGGATGATTGTCTCCCTCTTCTCTGCTCTTGTGAGATTCCACCTGGAGCCCTGTGCTCAGCTCTGGGGCCCCCAGCACAAGAAGGACACACAAGTATGACAATGAGTCCAGAGGAGGGCCCCAAGGATGGATAGACGAAGGGGCTGGAGCACCTCTCCTGTGAAAACACGCTGAGGCAGCTGAGGTTGTTCAGCCTGAAGAACAGAAGGCTCTGGGGAGACCTTACAGTGACCTTACAGTGCCTAAAGGGGGCCTGCAGGAAAGCTGGGGAGGGACTCTGTCAGGGAGTGCAGTGACAGAACTTTTTTGGGTAATGGTTTTAAAATAAAAGAGGGTACAATTAGATTAGATATTAGGAGGAAATTCTTTACCCTGAGGGCAGTGAGGCACTGGCACAGGCTGCCCAGAGAAGCTGTGGGTGCCCCATCCCTGGAGGTGCTCAAGGCCAGGCTGGATGGGGCTTTGGGCAGCCTGGTCTGCTGGGCGGTTGTGGTGTAAATGCCTGAAGTAACTAGGAAAATAAAACTAACATTCACACTTTTAAGGAAAAGGTACAGCATTGAAGAGGCTTTCAGAGTAGGGCATAACTGCATTACCTGAGCGTTCCCTAGGCTCCCAACCTTAGATGCTATCGCGCTGGGGAAACTTGGTGTGCTAGCCCTAAGGAACACCACGGAGCGTGGAGTGGAGTGGAGACACCACGGCTAGGCTCTGTAATCAGGTGGGGCCTCAATTGTTCTTGTGCACAAAGCTGCACTTTTTGCCACCCTAAGCCAAAGACCTGTCATCTTTTGACAAATGCTGTACCCTAGTGTACTTTTTGCTCATTATAATATCATTATAATACCAAAACACACCTCCATCCCAAAAGCTACCCGCCTCCAAGGTGCGACCACCCCTCACTGAGCATGCGCCCTGAATTTCTCAGAGCCTATTACTTTAAACGGAGACGGGAAAACTTTACACCAATCATAACTAAGATATGCTTGACTAGAGCCACTCAAGCTCCACCTAAAAGATAGAAAATAATATAAATTGGCCCGAGAGAGCGGGGATGTTAGGGAAGATACCATCGTCAGGGGAGATACCATCCCGAGGACATACAACATCCTTAGGACCTCCTGACTCCTGGGATCAGTCGACGGGCTGAGCCTCTCTTCCCCCCCCCGCATTGGGACGCCTTTGGGTGAGATCTGAATACTTGCTTATAAATCTCTATAGAGTCTTTAATCCTTTTAACGCGTTTATTTCTAGGCTGCGCACCTGTGACACCTGTAACACCTGTAACACCTGTGTATTTCATGCATACTAGCTTGCTTTTGCAGATAGTCACTATCACCGGCAATCCAAAAGAACCTGATTATCTGTTGCTGTAATAAACCATACTTGATTGCATTGTGATAGCTCTCATTAAGTGCAACTAGGGTGAGGGTGGTTATCCGTGATAGTTCAGTGTTCTGAATCCAACCAGACCCCCAGACGGTTAACGCGTTTTTGGTGAATGTCCAACTGGTTCAGTACCCTGAATCCGACCGGGCCTGTAACGGTTAATCAGCTACACCCCTTAACGCAACAACCCCCATTTCCTCCCCCCCCCCCCCCCATTTTTTTTTTTCAAGGTACTTAAATGACAACCACGTACAACTGTGCAGGTAATCATGGAGTTACACATAGTTTCCAGGTATTTTCACATGGACATTACAAATACATTCCACTATAATACATGGTGATCAATTATGTGCTCTGGGGCAAGGAGGCAGGTGGAACCCATCACATGGCTCAACAGGACTGAACAGATGAACTCAATTTAACAGAACTAAAACAGAAGAAATGAAACAGCAGCATCAGTCTTATGCTTGGAAAAATCCCATGTAGTTTTCTGCAGATGAGCAAAAGTGAAAATCTTCTCAAGTTTGTAAGAAAGAGTGCTAGAAATGTAATCAACACCTAGAAAATAAACATTAGAGGTGAAAGTTTGTGCTTCTATCAGCACGAACTGCCGTTTCTCTCACATGAAAAGAGACAGCTAGGAAGACACAGCAGCGAGCTAATCCCACTGCCACTTCAGCGGCTTCCCAGGCAGGCTTCAGGAGCCACGCTGCCCTTTTGCAATGTACCAGCCGCGCTTGCCGCACTTGTATCAATACCCAGGCAGACTCCGTAAGGAAGCACAGGGAGGTAGGTCCATGATGGCCTCAGAAGTAGATCTAACCCCAGCACAGATGCAACGACATTAACTCACAGAATTTAGAAGTCGGTCTAATCAATTCTGAGTTGCAATGGAGCAGAAAAAGGGCAACTCGAGCATACTCTGAAATGTTGTCATTAGTAGTTGGGTGCAGAGTAAACACTGGGAAAAACACACACAGCAATTACAAGAGAGAGTAACCCCCCAGATAAGTTCCCTAGCATACAGCGCTTTTTACAAGTTGATTTCAAAGCCTCGCCGGGATTTAACAACTATTCTAAACACGTTCTGAAATACCAAACATGTATGTAGTTAGTATGTAGCAGGTTTAGTCATGAGATTAAATGCTTGCTCCTACATTACCTTAATATACGGATAACTGATTGAAGTTGTTTACATTAAAGACAACAGCCAAGGCACTAAACTGTGTCCTGGACAAGCATTTATGAAACATTAGCACAAGCACAAGCCATATGAAATATGTAGGCTAGTGTCTATGTATCAGATTAGCCAAATAACTGTTTATATAATAAATACTGCATTAAACAAAATAAAGTTAGTTTAAAGTATCCAAACACAGAAGGTATGAACATAAATGTAAGAAGGCTATACTAAATCCTAGTTTAGTCATTTTTCCTTAATATTTTCATATTAAAAAGCAAGCAAAAAAACCTCTCTCATTATTTTGATAATCTTGGTTCCTAGCACTAATAATCCTATTTCCTGAACCTATGAACCTATTTTTCATCCTGGAAGGTTTTTCTGTATGTCTGAATAAGTAAAAAAAACAAAAACAAAAAAAAAAACAAAACAAAAAAAACAACCAACCAACCAACCAAACAAACAAAAAAAAAAAAAAAAAAAAACAAAAAACATGGTTTTGGAAATTTCAAAGCTGTACAATTGTTTGAATAGAATTATCTGGATCTAAGACTTAATTTTTCCCTTAAGCGTAACATCTATTTTATGACTAACATACAAAAAAACATGTTGCATCTCAGTCACATGTCATCTCTGCCCATGAAAAACACTGAGAACAGACATTAGTGGTCAAACTTTCTACTACATCTTTCTGGAAGTTCAGAATGGTTTTGATTCAATTATCAGTGAAAAATGTGCTCTAGAAATGCACCTTGCACCTAAATTACTGCTGATTTACTCAGACTTACACCAAAAAAAAGCCTAATTAAAACATATAATGTCCTTTGCAATTTACTTAAGTCACAGATACATTAAAAAAATAATAAATAAAAAGAAAAAGAAAATAACTTTCCATATATAGCAATAGCATCAACAAAAAATTAAGCTTAAGATCATTTTATCTTTTTCAGGAAAAAGCATGCTTTTGATGTTTGGATAGCTTTCATTTTGGATACAATCTTCAGTTGAACTTTCTTACAATTAAACCTCAAATTAGTCAACTCAAACTTAAACACTGAAGAATGTACTCAGTGTATGAGAACTTTAAGAGAAGTTTCCACTCAAAATAAATGTACGAGAGTCCCAAACATCAAACACTTAAAGACTGAGTTGAAACATTTTCATTTGAGTTTGAATTCTTCAAAAAAAAAACAAAGCAAGTCAAAAAATCACGCAGTAAACTAGAGTATGTTTTGTTTATAAGACAAAAGAGCTGAGTTATGGAAGAACCTTTTCAGAAATAGTATACTATTTTATTATTATTATAGTAGTGTTCAGCAGCTCCAGACTATCATCAAAGCTTAGGCTAGGCAATATAATGACTGAAAGCATTCTCAATCAAAATACTCAACATTTCTTATACTTAAGAAGAAATATTTTGCCCACTTTACAAAGAGGGAGCGGATGAAAGTACATGATATATC